ATATTTCCAATAAAAAGCTTAAGACTCTTAACAAGGAGCTAGATGCATGTTATAAAACTATATCACAACAAGACTCTTCAATCTTAATTCATGAAGATGAGATAGCATCACTTAAGACTGAGATCAAATCTCTTAAACAGAGTCTTCACAAAGCAATACAGGATATCCGATTGTTCACAGATAATCCATACAAAATTATTTATTTATGAATACTATCCGAAGTAAAAAAAATGAGTATCTGCAATCCGTTATCCGTACGGATACACGGATTGCGGATACACGGATCCAAACTCTATTTCGGACTCTACCACCTCCATTAAAAATATTTTACAAAATTGACATTATTAAAACAACGGTATTAAGATAATAATATCAGAATTTACCAATGCACGTGATAAAAATAACAATTCATCAGAAAGTAAATTACCCCACCAAATATCGTAATATCCAATAAAAGATCAAATATAGTATCAAAAAACGAGAAACTTGAAAAAATTCGGAAGCTAAACAATGTTCTGTCAAAGGTAGTATTAGGTATCATAGGTATCGGCCAGTGTATAAAATCTATTTGCGGAATTTGCGGAGCGCAACTTTTGATTTCCGCAAATTATTTGTGATTTTAATTTGCGCATTGCGCAACTTTCAGTTTAAAGTTTTATTATTAAATAAAATATTAACATATCCATGCGCAAATTGCATGTGATTTTTTTTTGCGCATTGTGCAATAAGCATTTGACTTGAATTTTATTCACTGGTATCGGCATATTGGGAGGTTACACTAATTGCAATGTCGTACCCAGCAACATATGCGGTGCTTTTTTTTTTTTAGTTTTTAAGACGCGAACTTTCGCGTGTTTTTTTTTTTAGACAAATTTATCATATCCTTATCGTAAATTTAAATATAAAATGGGTATTCAGTCTCTTCTACTAACTTTAAAATCCATACAAACCAAAATTTCAATATCAAAATATGCAGGAAATACGGTAGGAGTGGACGCGTATTGTTGGTTACATAAAGGAATTCATAGTTGTTTATTTGAATTAGTTTGGAATAAACCGACTACAAAGTAAATAGATTACTATATTTTAGTTTTCTTTTTATTTCCTTTTAAAAAAAAAATAATAATAAAAATTAAAATAAATAAAAAGTTATTATACATATAATACGTTTATTTAATTAAAGATATGTAGAATATTGTATGAGACGGGTCAGAATGCTGAAAGAATTTAATGTTCAACCGTTTATCGTTTTTGACGGAGGATATTTGCCGGCAAAATATCATACCGAACAGATCCGTGAACGGTTTGTTTTTCTTTGCAATTAATACCAGGAACTCGAGTATCATACTGATTTATTCTTTTTGAATTAGAAAGCGACAAGAATATCGAAAAATTGGGCAAGAACTTTATAAAAAAGGTCGGTTTCATGAATCTTTTCAATTCTTCAAGAAAAGTGTTGGTGTTACTCCAGAAATGGCTTACAAATTCATTGAGGTATTATTTGGTATTATTATTATTATTTCTTTTTTAAAACTTTCACAGTAATTCGTTCTTATAAATTTTAGGCTTTACGCGCAGAAAATGTAGCATACGTTGTTGCACCTTATGAAGCTGATGCACAACTAGCTTACCTTGAGAAAAAAAAATACATATCAGCCATCATAACTGAAGATTCAGATTTACTGGTTTTTGGCTGTAGAAATGTATGTAATAACAAAAAAAAAAAAAAAACAAAAAAACAAAAATATATTTCAATTTATCTTTGAACAAATTTTTTTTTTAATTAAACATTTAGCAACATCTCAGATTTTGATTTCTAGGTAATATACAAGTTGGATTCAAATGGGGAAGGAATAGAAATATGTCGGGATAAATTTGGAGACGTACAGGAGATTAATATGCTTGGTTGGATGGATAAAAATTTTCGACACATGTCGATGTTAGCGGGTTGTGATTATTTGCCTTCGATAACCGGTATCGGTCTCAAATCTGCGCACAAATATCTAAGGAAATATAAAACCGTAGAGAAGGTTAGTCTAACGTGTAAAAAAAAAAAATTTCTTTTATTTAATATACTTAAAGATTATGAACACTTTAAATAGGTAATACAACATTTGAAGAATAATAAGAAAACAAAGGTGCCACCAAATTATGAAAATGATTTTAAAAGAGCAGAATTAGCATTCTTGTATCAACGCGTGTTTGATATTGAAACTGAACGTTTAGTCACTCTGAATCCAATACCTAAAGATTTGAACATCTCACCTAATACAGATTATATTGGACCGTATCCTAATTTATTTATTAATTTGTTATAATTAATAATGTTTCTAAAGATATCTTAACTCAAATAATAATAGAAATATAGATGAAAAGATCGCTTTAGGTATTGCGGTAGGTGATATCAATCCAATAACCGTGAAACCAATGATACAAGTGGGAAAAGAAGTGGCGATAATGAGGGTTTCATCACCATTTAATAATGACTGTCGTGAAAAAGGTTTATTTTTATCGAGTGAGAATGACCCTTTCACTTGTAATCCGTTTAATTCAAATTATAATTATTCAGTTGCAAATCTAGTAAATCTTCCTTTATTCGAAAGACCGCGTAAAAACAAAAAGGTAATTAATACTCTAAAATTTAAAATATTTATTATACCCAAAGATAATGATATATATATATATATTTTTTATTCAAAGATGCGCGGACGGGATTCAATATCAACGGCAAGCAAAAAGCGGAGAATATGTTCTAACACAAATAATATATTATCAAGTAATTCGAGCACATTAAGTTATAATCAACCATGGTCAAAAATGTTTGAAATGGAAGTCAATGAAGACAAGGAGTCACGACAATCTGCACAAAAGCTTAATATTTTAATAAGATGTGAGGAAATATTTTCAACGATTAATTTGGACAGGATGAAACAATCAGATCAATATTATCATGTTGGATTGACAGGTATATCTATATTCGATTTGTTATGATCATCGATTCAATGATGATTGATTTATTTTTAATTTTATTTGTTTAAAAAAAAAAAGAATGCGAACGACTCGTTTCAGAAGGGTGGAGGAACAAATATTTAAGAAAACGTAAATGGGATAATAAATATGAAGAATGATATTTTTATGTAAAATTTGATATTAGTTTCCTTCGGAGTAAACAGTTTAGCTAATTTCTCTATTATCGCTCAGACTATTATTGGACTTCTTTATTGGACTTCATGGACAGATATTTTTATAATATATTATTAATGCCAATAAGTTCTTATTGTCACATTCGAATTTCAAAATCATGCAATTTTAGTAAATAATTATAGATCATATAAGATTGGGACTGACTTGTACTTAGTTGCATCAGTTTGCATCTGTTTAACATAAGCCTATTAAAAAAGTTTTGTGATTCTTGGATTTTCAATATGTTGATTAGATTCTACTTTTGAGTGTTCCATTGAAATGTTTTTTCTTGAAACTGATCTTTTAGGACAGCGCTCTTTTCGGCCATATATGATGGGCTTCTTAGCTCAGTACCATTATCAAGGTCTTCTAAATTGTAATATAAATAAATATTTAGATACACTGTTAAACGAACGTCTAAATTCGAAATTTCTTGTACCTTAAAAATTTCCAAAACGCCTATTCAAACACGACAAACGGACATCTGTTGATTGTTCTGATTCTTTGAGGCGAGTCTACACAGTAAACATTTTATCTTTATGAAAAAAAAACTTATATAAAGACGAATAAAACAAAAGATAGTATTACAAAAATCTTACTAGTTCCTTGGCTTTAAACGTATATAATGTATGAGTAACCTGTAATATATAAACAATTAGCACGGCATTTCTTCCTTTATTTCTCTGTTTTCATAAAGTTAAACGCGTAAGAGCGAAAATTAAAATGTTCAAGTCCAAATATTCGTTTGTCGATCCGATTTTATTGGTATATCCCGATCATGTGACATATACAGTAAGAGGATTTCCATAACAAAAATATTTCAAAGTCCCCAGAATTCTTAGTAGCGGTGGCACAGACATGCGAAATCTAATGGTTAACCAACCTCGATTTTCCATTTCCTCACATGAATACATTCTTAATTCCATAATGCCGGCCAAAATCACGCGGGGAAAGTTTTTTTTGGTGATACTGCATTACATTATAACAAAAAAGAATGTTCTTCCTCAGAGGTATACAGAAGTTGAGAGGATATTCCATGACTAATTAAGCTCAGAGAGAGAATACAAACAAGATCCGTTTAATCATCAATTGAATGGAAACATTATTTTATTGCGACTTATTACACACTATTTTATTTTAACAATTATTTAACAATTATTTAACTATTAAATTTAATAATATTGAAATTTAATATTGTTTTAATAATTGATACATCATTATTGTTAATTTAGTAACGAAATAAAAAAAAGCTAAAATTTTATTTATAAAAATAAAACAAAAACGCTAAACTAAATTTGTAAATATAAATAAATTTTAACTATATCTATCTAAACCAAATCCGGTTGATCACATTGTGAAACTATGTAAAAAGTATATTAAAATATGTTACCAAATTGGTTTGAAAATCATTTTTCAAATGGTGGATCATATTTCTTATTCTGATACTTTTGTTAAATATATAAAAAATCGTATCAATTTATCGTACATACCCTTTTAGTGGATGATAAGAAAACACCGCCTTTTTAAAAATAGTTCATTTTCCTGCTTTTCATGTATTGTTTGTTTTACTTCTAAAATTATGAATCCAAGTTGGATGACTTTAGTTTCTACTGAAACGGTCCTAGTTTTTAAAGACGAAGATAATTTTCCGACATTTCATGTTTCTTCGGATGTTCCTTCACTAGAAGAGCCAGTTATGGATCATACTTCTTGGAAGGAGTTGAAAAATGCTACTTTGAGCGAGGATTGTATGAAAATATTCTTTCAATATACATTATTAAAAAGTTAAATTGTATCTAATTTTTCTTTTTTTTCATTTATTTTAGTTGACAACGTTGACAATGAGGACAATGAAGACATTGAAGAAAATGAGGTCAATGAGGAGGAAGACGTTATGTTAACTTCTAATGGAGAAGTCAATGCTCCCTCAACTGCAACTAGGTTTAATTACGATGATATCCTTTTACGTGACAATATTTACATTTTTATTTTCATTTATTTTTTTTTTGTTTTTAACTAAAATGATGCAGTAATTAATCTTCCTTAGCTATTATTAAACATATGAAAATATATGGCTGTAAGCCTTTGAAAGACGAATCAGGTATCGTAAATTGTAAAGAATGTTCAAAAAAAGTTTTACCATACGGGTTCATTGACCATTCTGGTATTTTGTACTTTAATTTCTTGTTCAACTGTGTTCATGCTGATAATAATGACATGTTTAATTTATATTTCTTCATTATAGTAAACTGTGAAAAAATAAAAGCCGAAGAATTTGAAGCTCAAAATGCAGATGCATCTACGGATGTTTCGGCTAATGATGTAACGGTCGAGAAATTTGTGAAAACTCCTATCACAGAAACCTATAATTCGAGTCATTCAAGCAAGAAACGTAAGAAGTCGGTAGCCTCGGAAGGTATATATATAAATATAAATATATATATATTTTTCCACGCGTATTCAACTTATTGATTCCTGTATGAATGCATACGCATTACTTATCATTGCGATTTAGCTGAAGCAACTGAACAGTTACCTAATGCGAAAAGACCTAATTCTCCGGTAGCGGCTAAAACTTCCGAAAAAAAGCAAAAAGTTAAAAAGGAAAAAGAAAAAAAGAAAACCACAGGACGTAATAAAGGTTGTAACTAAGGTTAATTGAACTTTTAAAATTAAGTAACCTAATAAATTAATCTCAATTTAGGACCTATTGATTTGGACAGACAGTGTGGAGTAGTTGTTCCACCTAATACACCTTGCGCACGTTCATTGACTTGTAAGAGCCATTCGATGGCTTTGAAACGCAGTGTATTGGGTAGATCACAGTCATATGATCTTTTACTTGCTGCATATCAGAAAAAATCTATAGGACGCCCTCAAAGTAGGTTTATGAAATTATGAACTAAATGGAATTATCATTAAACTATCTAATTTCTTTTTATGTCACAGATAATGGCATACAAAGTAATAAACAGGACAGTGTAAAAAAAGATGGGAAATTGCTTGCCCCCGAGAAAGAGGAAGAGGAGATGGTCGATTCAGAAGAAGAAGTTGATGCCGTCATGTCAGCAATAATGTATAGTAATCCTCAGCCACTTGTCACACGACCAGAATCTTTTGTTCCACAAAGAAGTAATTACTTTATTTATAGTAACGATATCCTTCCAAAAGGAATTGCTTGAAACATTCGTTATGGTTAACGATTTTTAAAATTCTACGTTAATTATAAATTATGACCTCCAGTAACCTTTCATGTAAGTATATACTGTTTCAAATAATAATTTTAAAACAAAATTTTTTTTTAAAAAAAAGAGAGTATACACAATTATTTTAACTTTTAGTTCGATAACCATTGTTCATTTGAAGAAGATACAGAAAAATCGTCTGGTTGAAAAGTGGTTGCAGGAATTTAAGCAAAGTATAAGGTAAAGTCTCATTATAATAACTTTCCTGGGCATTTTATTGCATACCGAAATTTTGGACTTTAATAAAATAGTCCAGGTTAGAATTCCCGAAAGATCATTTTATATTTTTCTCGAGTTGAGATATATGTACATCCAACAAACTTGAGATTTGTTGCAAAATTTCTACTTTTATTTCAACCGGAACGGATTCTATAAATAAATTATTGTGTGACCAATCAGATGAGAAGTCACGATTTATGGATAAATGAACTGTATAAAGCAATAAATTTTTTTTTTTTTTTTTTTTTTACCTCTACCATCATTTAATATAGAGCCTTCAAGTTGATCTAATTTGATATTATCAATTCCTTTTTCTCTTATAATATCTAAATTAAATCAAATTTTTAAAATTGCATGCGCTCTACATGAACTACATGAACCAAAAATTTTTTTTTCACACGTTAATACAAGCATACAAACCTATACAACGTTTTTTGATCTTATCTTTCCATCCACAATCTTTGAGTCTTTTTGTCAATAATTTTTTTAATCTGCGTTAAATTAAAACAATTTAAATATATGTTATTAGAAAATTACAATATAATAAATAAAAATTTGGTAATATTGCTTTAAAAAGATACCTGTTCCTTTCTTGAGTTTCGAGAATTCTGCATTTAAGCTCATTTGCAAGACTTTGTTCATTTCCGGACTCTGACATTGTTGAAAATTTAACAAGAAAACTGTTCAATGAGAAAAAAATAAATATTATATGGAATGTAAATAATGTAATACATTGAAACATGTGACGATAACCCTCACGAATCATTATCAAGATGCAGGTCAATGATTGATTATAAAACTAGTTTTTCACTTTCGAGAATTGTAAAAAAAAAAAAATTAAAAATGAGTTCACTAACTTCAAGGTATTTAAGGCGAACCTTACGTTCTACACTCATTTCGCGAAATTTTACTGCGTCTGCACCTGTGAAAGGTAAATGCAATTTATTGTGATTTATTGATTTTACTGTATTAAAAAAAAAAAAAATTATTGAAAAAAAAACATCGTTATTAATTTATTTCAATTAAATTAGACTCGGTTCAAAATTTATATATAAAAATACTAAAGTCTTATACGCCTACTGGAGAGGTAATTGAAACTTATCAAAAAATTTTCGTTCAATACATTCATTCATTAACCTAACTTATTTAAAAAGAAAACTGGTTCGGAGGTTGGCCAAGTAAAAGAATTGATTTTGCCCACTGCCCCTCAGGTAACCAATTTTTGTTTTTCATTGATCAAATAAAGTGTTTTGATTCTGATTCTAATATTATTTTTATATATTGTTGAAGCCACCAACAGTCGATACAAGTGTTTCTTCAGAATTGTTATCTTCTTATGAAGCTGAAGATTTGCCACCACCTGAAGTCGTTCTTGCAACTGAATCATTAGAAAAACGATTTATAGATAATTCTACTGCACACGCTTATTAAATCGTTCCATTTTAATTTTTTTTATAACAAATATTTATCAAATTTTGAGCTTGATTTAAAAAAATTTCAATTAATTAAAGAAATATTTGTTTTTTAAATTTATTAAATTAATTTGAATTACTTTATTATCCTCCTGATGCAATTATTTTTTTAAATTCTTCGATTTGTTTTTGATATCCTTCTGTTCGTACATGACTTTTCTTCAATAACGATAACAAGAATTTTACTCGATGTTCTACAGTTTCCGGTACATGACCGTTACCAAGTAACCATTTACCATCTATTTTAACAAATAATGATCCCAATTTTTCAAGTTCATCTTCAAACTTTTTGATCTTATTATTCTCAAGTGATAAAAGGTGTTGAACTGTTTGAAGTTCCATGGTTGCTGCAAATAATTCATCACGACTAATTTCCGCAAAAGCCGCTTGATAAAGTGGCTTCCCAGGTTTTATAATATTTGGACGACCTAAATTAATTTAATCATTTAATTGGTCAATTTGTTAGAGTTTATAATATAGACTTAATTGTAGTTCTTACCATTATTATTAATCTGCGTAATAGATATTAGTTCAGCTTGTTCCATAGCTCTAATTTGAGTATCATCTCCCCCAAATATCGGTGAAAATTTAACAGAATCATAGGATACCTATTATATAAAATCAAATTCCATCCATGTCAATGTTTAAGCAAATATTATCATTGTTATTTTTACAAACCGAAATAAAATATTTACAGATTCTCCTTTAGATAATTTTTTCATGATTTCCCAAAATTGTATACCACTCCAGGGAATAGTTGTTGCGTCTTCATTGTCGTCACCAAATGCAAGTTTACGAACGTCAATTATTGCTTTAGCAACAAGATCTTGCAACGCATCTATAGAGGAATGTGACAAGATACGATAAACAGTTATATGTAGCTTTTAACATAAAAATAATAGAACATTACAATTAAATACCAATTGGTTTTTGTCCACTACGTATTTTATTAATAAATAGTCGCAAGTCCGTTAACCGCCCGCCAAGTACACCAACGGCTTCTTCCAATCCTTCAAGATTTTTATCATGTACATGTCGCTTTACCAAACTAATGGCTCTTTCATGTGGAGCATCCGAAAGAACAGCATAATTAAATGACTTATTTGGAAGAGCTATAATAAAAGATATAAATTTAAATTAAAGTTAAAAGCTTAAGATGAAGAGTGTTAATAATATATTACCTCGACTTAGATGCTTGACAATTCCTATGTTTGAACTTACAAACACTACATGCGCAACTTTATTTTCAACAAGTAAAGCCGCTAATTTTGCCAAATGATCCCATAATTCGTGGCTTTCCTTATCCTTGGTCATGTAAGCATCAATTACTATAATAGGAATTTCCGCCGGATCATAAGAATCAACTATAGGAGCTTCAAGATAATCATGTGATTTTTTCTGATTGTACCATGACCTCTTGGTTAAGGACTCGGGTGCGATATCATGCAAAGAAATTGCGAGTGCGTCAAGGATTTTCTTAATTTCAGTATCAGTGGTTGAAGAAAATCCAACTAAAAATAAAATGAATAAATGTTAAACAAGATTTTCATATAAAATTAATAAAGTATGTAAATACCCGTTTTCTGCCCTATAGTTGCGCTGGCTAATCCATCAATCAAATTTGATAAAGTAACCAAGAGGGTAAAAACAGGGAAATATCCCACTTGTTTTGCTAACTTTAAGACAAGTTCGTTTTCATCCCGAGAATTGAGGATAACATCACATTTTATAAATACTTTATTTCTATTAATAAAATATTAGTTCAGAGAATTGTTAATGCAATAAGAATAATAATAAATCGGTCACCTCTTTTTTTGTATAACTTTATTAATAAGGCTACTTTTACCGCTACCAGTTGGACCAAGTAAAACAATAAACGTTTCTATTCAATTGATACATATAGTCAGTTATTTAAATAATTTCACATGACATTACATAAAAAAAGTACCTGGTGGCTCTTTTAACCAATTTTGCAATTTAGATTCTTCCTGTTCTCTTTCTTTCCAAGCACTCAGATCAGCAAAAGATTCATCTTCATCTTCTGACGTTTCACGAAGAGCTCTTACTCGATCAATTGTCTCCTTCCTAAGCCATTGATATAAACGATATTCCCGAATGTTGAACCGTTGTGTGACTTTTGATGATATGAAGAAGACGCGGATTGGGTCAAAACTATAGATTTTAAAGAATTATTAAAAATTTCATATTCAAATTTGAAACTTAAAGGCAAAAAATAACTTACATGGTATAAGTTATGAAAGCAATTGAGGCAGCAATAAATGGAACCTTTAAAGCAGCACAAATTAATATATAAAAATAATATCGACAATGCTAGAAAATAAATAAACTCACCGAAATCCTTGGATGAGCTGCCATCCAATTATAAATTTGATTTGTTTTCTATTCGATTTCCCAATGTCAATGTAAATGAAATGAAATGAAATACTACCATGTATTTGAAATAATATATTATATTATTTGTCAATTGACTACTATAAAATTTCTTACAAGAGGCATATCATATATAATATTCAATCTTGTGTCTTTCACAAATAATCCATGTACGCAATTTTTAGCACTAGTAGCGGATCGCATTTTCGAGTATAGCACCATTACGTATCGTGGAAGATCTTTAGAAGATGGTGGCAATAAAGTTATGTCCCGAATTAAACCATATGGTCGGAGGTATTTATAAAGAGTTTCCTGGGTAATATAATCCAGTTTTGTTAACATCTAATAAATTTTGATATACGAAATATAAAGATAAACCCGTACAATTGAAACATCATTTCCTTGAAATTCAACACGTAAACGGCTGTGCGTTGAATAAATGCATTAATATATTGAAAGATTGACTAACATATATCTATAAATATCTCTAACCTTGCAGGGTATCTATAAGCCAAATCTTCAATAAACGGTTCTCCCTGAGAAAGGGTTAATTCTTGAAGCATTATAAATATATTCTTAAATTACTACAAAGAATATAAATATAATATATATATAAAACCTTGACCAAATATGCCTTTGTTGGGCGAACGTTGAACCATGGTATAATCTTTTTGTCTTTTAAAAAATCCTCTACAAGTTGACTTATTTCCTCTAATGCCTTCTTTTTCTTCTCTGGCTCAACTCGAAAAGTAAATTTAACTAACATTCCACCTTCCTTTTTTCTAATATAATAAAGTTTATAATTAATTATTATTACACGAATTGTTAATATATTTCAATTGAATACCTTGGTTCTACGCCTTCGACTTTAAATTTATATGGCATTTCATCTTCAGCAGGAATCCATTTTCCTGTTTTCAATTTCTTTTCTAGTCTTTCTTTATTCGACCTAACAAGAAAATGCCGAATATCAAAAGACCCTATCTTAAGAGGGTATATATTATCATAGTAAAATCGACCATGCTCGACTTGTTCAATCTAATAAATGGTAATCTTTAATAAAACAATTTGATTATAGATAATTTTCTATTTTTAAAATAACGTACCGAAACTGTTTCCGCTGCTCTTTTCATAGAACGAGACAAATTTAATGGTAAATGAGTACATTTGTGAGAAAGTATTATCTTTGAACTCCTCGTTTGATTTTGAAGGATTCGAAACATTGTTTATGCGGAAAAACTTTTGTTTGGCTAAAGGAAGAAATTAAATTTTTAACTTTTCTTTTTTTTTCGATATAAGTTTAATAGATTGATTGTTTGTTTGTTTGATTGGTCAGATCTTTTTTAAAATCAAGATCTTGGGTTAATTAAAATTTGGTTAATTAACCATAATATATTAACTATAGCAAGAATTGAATAGTTAATTTAATAAGCTGTAGATTATACTTTATTGTTATAATAGAAAAGATAGATTATTTTTTTTAAAGATGATTTAAATAAATTAGGTAATGATAATTCTGAATTAATAGAAGTAGTTTTTCTTACTTCTTAAATATATAATATAATTAAACCTGAAAATAAGTGAGAATTGTAATTAATAAAAAAAATTTTTGATTACTTATAATTTAAATTGCATTTCTTTGAGTTATAATTATTTGTAAATTTTTTATATTAAAATAAATTTGCAAGAAGTTGCAATTTAACAAATTGTAACTTCTTAATTATAGTATCATCTTTAGTCAAAGTATTTATCTATTCAAATATATATTTAAGTAATTTTATATTTCTTTATTTTGTTTTATCATTATTTCTCTAATAATTTAAATATTATATAAATACAAACAAAAAAACTTATTATACATATATAATTCATTAGTTGACTTTAATAGATGAATCTAAATAACTCATTTAACTTAAGTTCTCATTTGAAAAAAAGTTTTTTTATTATTTATAATTAAAATTTTATTTATTAATTTTTTTTTTTTTCTATTTATGTTTTTAATTAAAAATTTAATTCCTTTTTGATATTGATTTTATTTATAAGAAATTAAAATTATTTATTGTTATATGAGTTGATTGCAAAGTCTACTGACTGAAAAAGAAGGATAATGATTTAACTTAATAACTTTAAGAACTTGTTCACATTAATAAAACTATTGAATTAATAATATATCAATTTATAAGTATAGGAAATGTTGAGAATATATAAATATAAATTGGAAATATGTATAAATACTTCAAATACAATGGAAGAACAATAATGATGAATTAGGTTTTAGGTCACGAGTTTAACAGATCAATGTTATAAAGATAATGTTTAATTTATTAATAAAATATAAGTAGATCAATACGATTCAATAAACTAAATAAGCTCTTGTTGGCAAACTTATCAATTTATGAATTTCACTATAAATTCTTTAATTAACTTTGAAAACTAAATTGAACTTAAATCTAACTATCTTTAATTCAATCTGCCTGTCTCTTGACTATAGCAATTTCCTATCCTATTTATATAAAATATTTGATCTACTTCTATTACTAATTTAAGATAAAGTAAAACTATTAAAACTCAAGAAACATTATAAACTTCATTAATTTAAACATAAGAAACTAATTAAACTTAATCAACTATATTAACTTAGTTAACAACGTTATCATCGTTTTCGAGGTTTCGATCATTTTGATCATCAGGCTGCGGCTTAAGAAATTACGGCTTTCTTTAGTAGTGATCTGCAAAACTATAATAGCAATTACTCTTTTTTTACTATCTCCGCTTCTATTAGTCTAATAACCTTGTGTTTATATTCATTGGAACGCTCTCAATGAGACGGTTCTAATGATTATATTTTTATCAAAATGTAATCATTAGATCGAAAGTTATTCCATTTAACACTATAATATATAAGAATATTTCTAGTAAAATTACATTACAAATCATATTATTAGTCTGAAGCATAGCGAAGGACTATATAATTCTATGTACTATTTGACTCAAATGTTCGCATTCCCCCTGCTTAATAATTAAGTTGATCTGTATAAATTCTAAATTAGTAAAAATAGTATGTTATTTATTTACATTTTATACTGTTACCAGCTAAAAATTCACTATTGAAAAGTTTATCTACAAAGAATTATTAAATGATCTACAGAAGTTACTGAAATTAATTTTATGTTGATCACATATTAGAAGATCTGCATAATTTCAGATTTTGATAATTCTTAGAATCTACATGATTCTGGAGATTCGTAGGATTCTTAGAATTTACTGGATTCTTCAGATTATCATGATTCGTTAGATTTTCCTAATTCTTTGTATTCCCATTATTTTAATTATTATCATTATTCTTCTTATTTTTATTATTTTTATTATACTTATTATTATCTTTATAATTATTATTCTTCTTATAATTATTATCATTATTATATTAACACTTGTAGTTACAAATTTAGTTAGTTTATAGCATAGCAATTAGTTAGCTGTAGCAAATTAATTTTGTATAAACAGAATAGCTTTTTGCTTATATTATAAATTAACTCTCTTGTAAGTTCTAAAATACTCGTGAGTTTTATCCCTTTTACATGTTCATCATCTAGGATTTGATTGTAAACCACTATACTAACTTACGATTGAGTTCGTCACTTAGAATAAATAAATTCTTCAAATTTCCTAAATTCCTAAACCCTTAAGTTCGTAACCAAGTGAAGTAATTCCAAGAAATTTCAGATACCTGTAGGACGTGAGATTCACCAAGGTTGTAAAGTCTGACAATAAGAAAATTACTTACCGCAGCAAAAGAACTTAGATAAAATATGTGAAGTAATCAGAGAATATTATTTCCGGTGATAATACTAAAATCAAATAAATAAAAAAAATAAACTATACAGCTAAACTATACTGCTAAACTCAAAATAAATTATATTGCTAAACCCGAAGTATGCGACGTATATTGATTTATTTTTGATTAAATTAAAAATTTAAAATAATCACATGATACACAATTTATCGTTCTTTATTGGTTAAAACCCTAGTTCTAAACTTAACAATGACAAGCCTTTTTCCTAGTTTATTAGTCCAGAGCGTAGTGAAGGACTATATAATTCTATGTGCTATTTGACTTAAATGTTCGCATTCACTCGCTTAGTAAAAATAGCATGTTATTTATTTACATTTTATACTAAACTCAAATAAACAATACAAATAAATTATACAGCTAAACTATACTGCTAAACTCAAAATAAATTATATCGCTAAACCTGAAATGTGCGACGTGTATTGATTTATTTTTTGATCAAATTAAAAATTTAAAATAATCATGTGATACACAATTTATCATTCTTTATTAATTAAGACCCTAGCTTCAGATTTAATAATGACAAGCTGTTTTCTTAGTTATATCTTATTATAATTTGATTTTACTGAAAATATTCTTATATAGTAAATTTTTTATATAATAAAATTAAAAATCTTATTATTTTAGATCATATTTTATATAAACCTTTTTTTTAAAAATTATATAATTAAAAAATATAACAAATGATTAATATTTATTTAATAATTTTTAATAATTAATAATTATAATATTTTTAATAAATTAATAAATTTTTAGATAATAAAATTTATTATAAAAAATTTTATTAATTTAGTAATTAATTTTATTAATATAATTTATTTATAAAGAAATTTAAACTATTTTATTATAATAAATTATATTAAAAGTTTTTTAACTTTAAGAATTTATTTTAATACTAAAGAATTTTAATAATTTATCTATTATTTATTTGTAAATATTTTTTTTATTTATTATTTAAATTTTAAATTTTAAATATAAATTACTTTTTTAGATTAAGCAAAAAATTATAAGAATTTGAAAATTTTTTAATAAAATTTTAATTATTATAAATTAATTTTTGATAAAAATTAAAATTTTATTTAAAAAATTCTTAGAACCTATTTTTTTTTTTTTAGCAAACCTCCTATATATTATTATTTTTAAGAAATATTTTTAATTTTAATTAACATAAAATTTATTATAGCAAAATTTATAATTTGCTAACTAGTTTTTAAAAATTTTAATTTTCAATATTTGATTTGTACATTTAAAATTTTTGTATAATATAATATTACAACATAAAAAAAATAAATGATTCAACACATCTGAAACTTTAAAATTAATTTATTATGTTATATACTAATGCATAAATATTTAGCTTCTTTAATGAGCATTTCTGGTAAAATAAAAACTGAAATTTAAATATAAATTGTTTCGTAATACAGTAAATGGTATTATAATCAGTTGTATGGTTAGCGAATTTATTGAATAATGCTATAAATGATAAAAATAAATATTTTATTATATATTAGGAGATTTTTTTCTAAAATGGTAATATCGGAGATCCCCCATTTATTAGCATATACTGTATATGTCCATATACTGTATAATATAAGTATCGAAACCAATTTATTTTATTCGAATCCAAAAGGTTTGCCGAAAAAGCATTATCATTATGGAGAATCATAATCAAACGTTGTTAAATCATGGTAATATAAATAGTTTACCACCAACTTCAATTAAAACCTCGGAGGTTATAAATAAAGGCAGTGCACCAAATTCACCTTCAACAAGGTCTACGGTAGTTCCATCAAATTTGAATATAAATTTACCAACTTTCAATAATACAATCGCCACCGCTGATACAAATACAACAACATCAAATGATGCAGTAATAACAATAGTTGGATCGAATAGCGTAACAAATTTTTTAACAGAAAAAGAATCAAAAAATAGTGGGTCAACTTCGGTTAATACTACCTGGGAAAATATATTTAAAAATCTTTATTATATATTAGCATGGTATTTTTTTAGTACCGCGCTATCATTTTATAACAAGAATTTGATGGGAAAAGAATATTTTAATTTAAAATTACCTTTACTTATAAGTGCTATGCATACCGGAATGCATGCTTTAGTTACCACAATATTGATGAGTGGTAATTTACCTATGATTTATAAAAAAACAGAAGGTAAATCTGTTTCGATCTCTTCATATTTTACTCGCGTGGTAAGTAAATTTTATTTGAATTCTTTCTCCATTGAACATGATTGAAACGTTTCAAAATGGAGGTGATTTCATTTCGGTATAAATTCAAGTAATTATATTAATTAGGTTCCTTGTGCCGTAGCAGCAGCATTAGAAATATGCATGGCAAATGCATCACTTGTATTTATCACACTAAGTTTTTACACTATGGTAAGTCTTTAATCGAAAATTCTCTTAATTCAAAAAAAAATGAAATTCTCACTTTATTAAATAATTCCTCCTTTCTTTTGATTTAGGTTAAATCATCTACACCGATATGGGTATTAATATTCGCATTTGCGTTTGGATTGGAACAACCTAAATTAATACTAATTATCATAATAACAGTAATCAGTGTTGGAGTTTTATTAACAGTAGAAGGAGAAACGAGGTTTAATTTGACAGGATTTCTTTTAGTATTAGGAGCGGCAATAATAAGTGGATTAAGATGGACATTAACACAAATGCTTTTACAAAAAGAAGAAGGAATGAATAATCCAGTCGCAACGTTATACTATCTATCGCCAATAATGTTTATTTTGATGAGCATATTATCATTAATATTTGAACAACCTTTTCAGGTTTTTAACACTTCAAAACATTTTGAAAATGTTACTAGAGGATTACAAACTTTTGGATTGATGTTGATGGGGGGTTTATTGGCTTTTTGTATGACCATCGCTGAATTTGCCCTTATTAAAAATACCAGTACTGTCACTTTATCTGTTGCCGGTATTAGCAAAGAAGTCGTTGTTATCACTCTATCTGTATTAATTTACCACGACGAATTAACTCCAATCAATTTACTTGGGTGAGTTGATCTATCCTTAAAGGGTGAATTTTGAAAATTAATGGGTGAAAACTTACTAAACATTTATTTCATATTTTTTTTTTTTAGGCTATTTATTTCTATTACAGGAATTATAGGATACAATTATTATAAAATCAATAAACCTAATAGCGATAAAAAAGGTCGTTACCAGGCTTTACCTCCTCATAAAAATAATTCATTGGATTAAAGAAGCTTTATTTTTTCAATAAAGATTATTAATAAAGGATTCATTATATCAAATATACCAGATTTCACTATCAGTTTTTTCATAATCAAAAAGCTTTTCAATGGTTTCATCCTCCCAAGTAAAACCAGAAGCATTTCTATGTCCACCTCCACCAAATACTTTAGCTATTTTTGACACATCGGCCTTTTCATCTATACTTCTTAGACTTACATTAAATCTTTTTTCTTCCGCATCATAATACCATACCAATCCAAAGTCTGCTTCTTCTTTTCTGGCTAATACATTTCCTAATTCTGATTGTAGTGTTATGCTGTTTAGCATAAATACTGTAAAGGTTTTGGGAGGAGATCGATCAACTGAGAGTGTTATTTGACGTTTTGCCGCGTGTTTTTCCACTAATTGGTTTACTAATGCATCTGTATATCGCAATATGTGTGTGCCGCCTTCTACTGCTTTATCAATCAAGCTCTGTTCAGGTAATAATTTTTTTTTTAAAAAAAAAAGAAAGGTTGAAAAAAGTTATGAATGGATTAAATTTAATTTATGGATCCCTTTTTTGTACAAACCTCATCTTTAATGTATTGATCATAAGCTTCAAATTCTTTTGGTACATTATTCCAAAATGTAGTAAATTCTCGAGATTTAGGTAACGCAAATCTCCACAAGTCCTAATTAAAAAGTAAAAAGATGATAACGATTTTTTTTTTAATTAAAACATCATTCACAATCTTTAAAGTTTGGTAATTATAATTTACCCTGTCTTCGATATAACGAATTAATAAAGGTACTTCTTTGTCAGGCCAAAAGAATTCCCATGCTAACCTAGCTCCACTTTTATTCATGTCGAAATGATAATTTTTTTCCTTTTCACTTCCTTGACCGGTTAACCTTTCCTTGGCTGAAACATGATGATCAATTACAACCACCAATTCCGCTTTTTTCTCAATTTCGTTAAGGATCTCATTTTTATAAGCGAAATCGAATAACCCAACACGTTTCCCTTGGATTTCAGTATCGGGAGGTGGTGGTGTATCATGTGCTGCCGCAAAATATGTTACGTTTTTACCAAATCGAGTCCATGCCGAATATGCTGCTCCAAATCCATCAGCTTAAAAAGTGAATAAAAGAATGAATTAAATAAATGTATTTGATTTCTTTTGATTTTTATTTTAAGGGGAGTGAAAAAAATTTATGATTATTCTCTTACGGCAATCCTTATGATATATAATATAATTCAAACTTCCAGGATCAATATGTGACATAATTTTTCTTGAATTATCCTAAAAAAAAAATCATATACAGATATATATATTCAAGTTCAATTAATTATTTATCTTTTTTATCCGTTCCAGCCACAAAATTCAAAAAAAAAGTATGAACTGTAATTTACCATTGAGGAAGCCATTTTATGAAGTAAAGATTTCTTAAACGAATAACAATTAAATAATGAATGAAATCGATAACCTCTATTTATCAACATCTTTTTTTATTGCTAAAAACTGTGTGACAAGCCAAATATATTTGCCAGTATCACCACATTTCAAACCACGTGATCTCATATATTCTCACTAAGAATTACTTAATTCCGTAATGCCGGCCAAGATCACGATTTTTACATTTCAGAAAACATAGTAAGCATTAGCAATGGTCATGACTTAACACTCTCCACATTTCAGGCACGTGGACAAAGTTAGAAAATACTTTTTGAAATTCTCGAACGTAAAGGTAATTCCCTTTTTTTTATTTATAAATCATTTCATAAAAATTTTTTTTACATCCTTTATATTTTTTTCGAAATCAAAAAAAAGAAAAAAAAAATTTGATTAGTAATTTATTTTAATTATCCATCTCTCCATTTGATGTGTCAAAATGGAAAAGGAGGATTTTTCTTCGAATATAATCAAATACGAGCTTAAGATATAATAATTGGGAATCGGAACGTTCCAATATTTTTTGCAGAATTTAATTTTAGAAGTTTCTCGGGATATAACCTTATTATAGTATATGTTGAAAAAAAAGTACATCTTTAATACATTAAATAATTTATTTTCGAGGAAATATATATATATATATATGAAATTTAGATTCAAAATCTAATGATTTATTATTTAACAAATGGGGGAACCAACTGTATACTTTACAATTTTTTTTTTAAAAAAAATTAATTCGATAATACATTACTATTTTCGAGGAAAAAAAAAAAAATAATTAAAAGGGAACATGTTACATCTTTTTTTAAAAAAATATCGATTAAAACTGATAAAAAATAACAGAAATTGGAATGAATTTCTGCTAATCTTTCCATAATTCTAAAGAATAAACTTTGTTTTTGATCTTAAAATTAAGTTCTAAATGCATATTTGTTGCTCATTCATTATATAGACGAAATTTATTCACATATCAGTAAAAGCTAGCGTATGATGGATTCGGAGGCGTTCAGGCGGAATGAGGAGATGCCTGAAATGATTTAATTATCATTTTTGAAAGTTTGAAATTGCCTCAAAAGTTGGAATTCATTTTATGATGCTAATACATTCAAATAAAAAAAGGTGTCAATCATAAACCCGATGAAAGTTTCGAAAATGTGATATTTTATATTTTTTATGCGAGAAAAAAAGACCAACCTAAGCTCCACCGATCAAATGGTCTTCCAGATTAATGTTATTAATAATTACGAAACCCCCGACTACCCGAAAGAGAGAATGGAGTTCAATTGGAAAAAGACAGACAAATGATAAAGTCTAATTATGAATGCAACATTTATTGATAGGAAGAACAGGACAAGGTCAATTTCCTGGTCATATTTATAACAAAATTCAACAAGTTGGTCGGCATATGATTTAAACTTTCTTTTTCCTTTTTTTCTCTTTTCCATAAAAAAAGTGACAATTAAAAAACAGGTGGTACAGTTCCATATAAATATGGTAATATATGCGATCCCATGCTTGAAAAACATTACGCGATAATCGCAGTGATGTTGTTATGGGACACAGGTCAACCCAACCGGATTAGTAAGTTCATTCATTTAAAGTTAAGAAAACCCAAATCTAGACCGAACCGAACATCATGCAAAAAGATAGATGGATGAAACATGGCTTGATATTGTTCAAAATCATTTCATTGTTTCATCTTCATATGCAAATATGAAAATACAAGTTTTCATTGATAATTTAGATGAGAGATGATTATGTAATCACCAAATATGAAATTATTTATTTTTTTTGTGGCCAAAAGTTCTAGACTCTGTGTTTCAACCACCTTATTGTGGTGAAATTATTTTGGTAATTATCATCCCATAATGATCCATTCCGGTTAAGGAGTTTTGGAAGTTTCTACAAACACCATTTTCATATGATTAAATTCACCACTCATACACAAAGAAGGAACCATTACCTGCTTTGTTTATTTACCCTTAAATTATTCTCACGGAATTTACAAGATTGATCATTCTTATCATTTCTATTCCATCGAAATCTTCCCATATACTTTCCATGACAATTAAAAAAAATTCTTTGTATTGTTGTTAAACTTTATTTCATTACAATGATATCTATCATGATACAAAGACTGCAGTTTTTTTTCCCATCAATCAAATCTATTTTTATCTTGCAGAATTCATCACTAAAAGTAAACTAATTTTTGTTTTGAACGCGTGCGTGGCGCAGATTTTTATGATCATCATGCACACGAAATCAAGTACAACATAAATCCCAATGGTGAATTTGGAATGATTAACATTTGTGTCAACTTTATGTTGTGATATACCTGCAGCGTCAAAGTTTAAATGGTTGTGACACTCAAAAAAAAAAAACATTGTTTAAGTTCCTAATAATAAAATGTTAAGGTTATCGGAAGGAAATTAATTTACAAAATTGGAAAGATTAAAGAATAAAAATAGATTTGTACGAGGAGATTTGGTCCTATATACGTATCCTAAATTAAAATCAAAATCGTTTTCAACTTTGTATGAGTTTCCGTAGGAAAGAAAAAAAAAATAATTACAAAGTAATTTAAATTGTTTTTATCAAGCAAAAAGAATTCGCTCATGGTTTTTTTTTTAAAAAAAAAATTCGCACGATATGATTATTCTATGTGAACATGATTTTTCTTTTTTTTTTTTTATATTAAAACATTGAACTCCAATCACGATCAAAATACTTATCCTTGACCTCCTTCGAGATCCTTTTAGAATCGATTATTCACATTAGAAAGGAATACCAGGACAATCCTTCAAAATGTCTTCACTTTAACAAATATCAATCGAAAACGGTAACATAAAAAAAATTCTGGTAGGATCACAAGGATAGTTCCCACAACTTTTTCGGTTGACGGAATTTCATGGATCAATAATCCTAAAGCCGGCAACCTTACCACTCAGTACTATACCGTATAATTCTCAAATATTTGCAATAATGATTTATATATTTATTACATGCATACTCATCATAAATTATTTTTATTCGTTTTTAATTATTTGAATTAATAACACATTTATTATAATGAAATTTTCAAGTAAATTATTCTAATAAAGACAATTGTAAAATCTTTTACAGATAATAATTCTTTAATATTATAGATTAAGGTATTGGTCAAATTTATATAATTATTTTAGTATTAGTCTTCTTTTATTAATCGAAATATATAAGAATATAATAAAAGTGTAGCATAAAAAAACCATGATTCATATTAAATGTCTAATAAAATTATGTTAAATCCCATCTAAAAAATTTTCATCGATTTTTAAAAATCAAATAGCTTATCTTTAAAGTTTGTTATCATTATCATCTTATATCAAAAAACTGAATCGGTTATCGAATTATTTTAATTATTATTTATATTAGAAAATATAAATTAAATTACCCATTATAAAATTGTAAAAATAACAAAGTAGTAAATAGTAATTATAGATGTATTAGATGTATTATTGATAGTAAAACGTGATTATCATAATTTATTATTATAATTTTGATATCATATTAATAATTAATTTTATTAATAGA